AAAAGAAGGCTGAGACATTTGTATAAAAGTTATTAAGATGGTTGACCCAAGAGATGTTAAGAAAAATCCTGTGGTCTACCACACAGTGGGATCCAGCCACCCCCCAAGGATCCTGGGGTGTTTTCTTGCCCTTTGCAAGCACGTATGCCTTCCATATCAATCATGTGCTTTTGTATTTGGGAGGACTTTTACCGTATGCATAAAAATGAGTAAGGAGCCCATTACCTGGACATGTACTTTTTCTTCCTCTTAAAAATAATTGAATTAGGGGCGCCTGGGTGGCTCAGTGGGTTGGGCCTCTGCCTTCGGCTTGGGTCGTGATCTCAGGGTTCTGGGATCGAGCCCCGCATCGGGCTCTCTGCCAGCGGGGAGCCTGCTTCCTCCTCTCTCTCTGCCTGCCTCTCTGCTTGCTTGTGATCTCTGTCTGTCAAACGAATAAATAAAATCTTTAAAAAAATCGAATTGTCAGATTTACTTCTGAGCTCGGGCAGACCTGAAAATGAACTGTTTGGCAGATGAATACAGCAGCACTGAAAGAAAGCCCTTCCAGATACAATCGGGGAGTTTTAGGTGGAGTAGGTGAGAGTGGGGTGGGTCATGTAACCAGTTCCCTTTGACCGTCTCCCCGTCCCCCTCACAACAAAGTGTCAGGTGGGTCACGGAGGAGCCAGAATACGAGGCAGAACGTCTGCTTCCAAGCGGAGAAGGGGGCCTCCGCCACCATTCCTCTAAGCCACAGTCTTTCAGGTGTCAGACTTTGCTAGACTTGGTTTAGCTTGTTCAGAAAGTCCAGGTCTTTGCTGGATGTATCCTCCTTAATACTCCTCCCAACATCCAGCCAACACAAAATCAAACACACAGACTCATCCTGTTTGTGTTTTTGCTGAGGGCTCAGAATCCTGAGGTTGGAGTTCTTTTGTTCTGTTTCCTCTGCTTTCTCCCTTTCATCTTGTTTGTCCCTGATCTCAACAGGGGGCTTCAGAGAAGGGTTAGAAATTTGCTCCAAGAAATAAACACCAAGAGGATAAGACCCCCTTCTGGTTTGCTCACCCTGAGCTTAAAAGCCATTATTTCCTTTATCCTGCCCCTCTGTTCTAAATGAGACTTCAAAACAAAAGCCCATCTTTGTTTGGGGTAATTGTAGTATATAGGTTGGTAACTTTTAAGGGGACCCCAGCTGCTTCAGAGTGCAGAGGAACCTGCCAAGTCCAGAGAGCTTTTCTGGCCTCAAGGCTCTTAACTGTAGCCCTTGGGACACCTGGGTGGCTCAGTCAGTTAAGCATCTGCCTTCAGCTCAGGTCATGATCCCAGGGCCCTGGGATCGAGCCCCATGTAGGCTCCCCACTCAACAGGGAGTCTGCCTCTCTCTCTCTCTCTCTCTCCCCCTCTGCCCTTCCCCCCACTTCTGTTCTTTCCTTCTCTCTCAAATAAATAAATAAAACCTTAAAAAAAAAAAACTATAGCCCTGGGTCAGAAACATGTAGTTCCCCTCCCAACAGGGTTTATCTGTAAGGCAGAAATCAGATGTTGACAGAAGCTGTTTCATGTGCATGCTTTGTTTGAGTACAGTCTTGTCAAAGTTCCTGTTTCCACCTCTCTAGTGATTTTTTTCCTTTTTGTTGTCATTAGGATTATTGTCAGGTTCTATTATGACCCTCGTGTCTTTGGGGGAGAGGGTGTCTAAGGGTTGAGATATTTTCAAACCATCTATTGGGTCGTGAAACTAGACATTTGTACCTCCTCTACGAGTTTCAAGAATGAAATCCAGTCCCGTGGCACTGCATTAGTAGAAGCCAAGTTGGAGTGCGAAGTTCATCCGACTCTAGAGGGAAACTCAGGAGCCGCTTGTACATCTTGCAGGGAAAAGGGTGGAAAAAATGAATGGGATAAGAATTGGAGCGTGCAGTAATGAGACACTTTCCTGTCTCCCAAGTCCCCCTGGCTGGATTGGGAGAGCTCTGTTGAGGGAAGTTGTTTCCTAATTCCAACCCCTCAGAACTCTGCCTCCCAGTCTTTCGTGACTGGAAACCCCTTGAGGTTTAGCCAGCTGGAATCTCTCGCCACTGGGGGCCCCCTCTGGGGCTGTTGTGGAATATCGCCTTTGGGGTGACAAGGATATTTTGAGATGTGGAACAAGAATGCTTGATATTTGAACCAGTTACCTAATGGCCCAGTGACCTCTTTGTCAATTGAAATGAAAACTTTGTATTTAACCTAGTTTTAGCTACTCAGATAGCTGGGTGTTAAGGAGTCCGCCCCACCATCTCTTTCCTTCCTTCCCTCTCTCTTTTTCTTTCTCTTTCTCCACCCCCCTCCTTCTCATTCCCTCTTCGCTTTCCTTTGATAGCAGCAAAAGAACACAATACGAGGATGTAACTGGTGGGAAAAGATAGCTATTTCTAGACAAGCCAAGCATTTTATCCGGGCTGACATGTAACTGAAAGTGTTTATTATTACTATTGTTTACTCCACCACTGTGACAATGTAAAATGCTTTCTTGTGAGAAAATCTGACTACTCTGATTTATAAATGTCTCCCTCAAGTGTTTCCTGCAATCATTACTTAGTGGTAAATAAAATGGAGAGGACTTCAAGTATATACCTATTTCTAGCTCTATCTCTATACAGAGTTCTCTCTCTCTCTCTCTCTGGAGTGGGGAGAGAGAGAACTGTGTTGTTGGTATGTCTACACACGGATGGATGATGTCTGTTCTAGATATAGGTGTGCACGCTGTCGCCGCTGTGTCATATAGTGGAGAAGGAAGATGAGCTGGGGAACAAGGTGTGACTTCACACCCCAAGCCCTGCTACCTCCTAGCTAGCTGTGTGACCTTGGGCAAGTCGCATAACCTGTCTGAGTCTTCATTTCCTCAGTAGTAATACATGAAGTTAATTTATTTGAAAAACAGTATTACACACACCAAGAACAGCAAGAGAAATATACTCCCTCTGTCTCATGTCACTTTACTCCATCATCCTTTGGAGAGGAGCAGAGTAGCCCCGAATATAGAAGTCTTAAAAGGTGATATATTCTGAGCATCTGAACTTTGAATTATTTCAAAACAGGCATTACGCAGTGTCTGTTGGCAGCCTTCTCGTCTGCGACCACTCAGCTCGGGGGCATTTTAATCACAGTTCTTGCTGAGAGTCTTGCTGAGAGAGACCCAAAAGGGTCTGTTTCGTTCATCTGCTCGTTACATGTCAGTATTTACTGCAGTGAATTAGCCAGCGATGCCATTGCTGTTTTACAAAAGGCCCGATTTTGAAGTTCTCAGGAAAAAAAACCGTTTAGCAGGTACAGATTCCTCAATCATCACCATCATTAGTGTCATTGACTAAGGTGTGTAACAAATTTTCAGATTCATAGGACTCAAATTACTGGGGAAGTGAGACTTTCTGGATTTGTCTGCTCCAGAAGCTCACGGCAATGGTTTCCAAATCCGCCTGCAAATCACACTTGTGAGAAACATTCTAAATTGTGAAACACACATGGTGGAAAAGTACATAAAATTAAAATTGGGGGCACCTGGGTGGCTCAGTGGGTTAAAGCCTCTGCCTTCGGCTCGGGTCATGATCCCAGGGTTCTGGGATCGAGCCCCGCATCGGGCCTCTGCTTGGTGGGGAGCCTGCTTCCCCCTTTCTCTCTGTCTGCCTCTCTGCCTGCTTGTGATCTCTGTCAAATAAATAAATAAAATCTTTAAAAAAAAACTAAAATTGTACCCTCTTAACAAAATTCTGTAGAGAGGATACTCGTGCAGTCCTTCTCAGTTCAAGAAATAAAACATGGCCAGGACCCCCACAAGCCTCCTGTGGGCCACTTCTGAATCACAGCTCCTTGCCCCTTGCCCACTGAAGCCACTGTCTTTCTTGATTTTTCTCTCTTCTTTTTTAAAAACAGTTTTACCCCCTACCCGTGTATGCATCTCTAAATGGTATAATTTAGTTCTACCTATTTCTAAAACACTTTATATAAATCGAACTATCCAGAACATATTTCTTTTTGTTCTGGCTTCTTTTCCATAGTATTAAGGTTTATTCACGTTACTACGTACTGGTGATGTTTGTTCATTTTCATTCATGTATAGTGGCCCATTGTATGAATCTACCACAGTTTCTTCCTTTGTTCTATTTCAGAAGGATATTTGGGTTGTTTCTAGTTTGGAGCTGTTATGGACAACGTTGCTATGAGAAGTTTCTATGTATACTGGTGCATATAAATCTTTGCCCATCTTGATTGGGTTATCTCTCTTTTTCTTACCGACTTCTAGGAGCTTTATGTATGTTGTAGACACAAGCTCCCCGTTAGTCATGTGTGATACAAATACCTTCCCCCACTTGTGGCTTGCCTTTTTGCTGTCTTCATGGCATCTTTTAATGAACTTACAAGTTCTTTGTTTTTTTTGTTTTTTATTTTAAAGATTTTTATTTATTTGACAGAGCACAAGTAGGCAGAGAGGCAGGCAGAGAGAGAGAGGAGGAAGAGGCAGGCTCCCTGCCGAGCAGAGAGCCCGATGTGAGGCTCGATCCCAGGACCCTAGGATCATGACCCGAGCCGAAGGCAGAGGCTTTAACCACTGAGCCACCCAGGCGCCCCTCTTTGTTTTAATGCAATGAAAATTATCAATCTTTTCATTTATAGTTAGTGGCGTTTTTTTTTTTTTTCCTTGTGCGTGTTTTGCCCAAGAAATCTTTTTTCTTTTACCTTGAGATCATCAAGATATTCTGTTATGTCTTCTAAAAGCTTCACTGTTTCACATTTACCTTTCCAGCCCACATAAAAGTGATTTTTGTGTATGGTGTGAGAACAGCCCAACTTCATTTCCCCATACAGACAGCCCGCTATCCCAAATAGCATTTATTGAGAATGCTACTCATGTACTGAAAATTCCCCCTCTGCTTTGAAGTGCCACAGTTGTCATAAATCAAGAATCTGGGTCTGGGTCTATTTCTGGGCTTTCTAGTCTATTTACAGATTTGTCCTTGTGCTAGCCCTATACTGTTTTAATCACTACAGCTTTATAATAAGGTCTGATGTCTGGTAGAGCCAGTCCTCCCACAGTGCTGCCCTTAGAAGTGTCTTCGGTCCTCTTGACCCTTTGCCTTGCCTTATACCATTTAGAAATCAACTTGTCAAGTCAAAACAAACATCTGAAATAAGCCATTGGGATTTTTATCGGGATTAATTAGGTCTTCTTTACTTCCTTTCAATGAGGTATTTATAGTTCTTTCCATCAGAGGTCTTGTACAGCTTTTGTTGGATTTCTTCCTGGACACTTGATTTCTAAATGTGACTGTAAATGTTACCTTTTAAAAAAATGTGTTTTCTTGTGTTTTTTTGCTGGTGTATAGAATACAATTGTGTGTGTACGTATATTTATTAACATCCTTGTTAATACTATCAATTCTTACAAATTCTAATAATCAGTCTGTAGATTTTTAAATTTTTAAAAAAAAAATTTATGTGTTTTAGAGAAAGGAGCCGGGGAGGGCGGAGGGAAAGGGGGAGGCATTCTTTAAGCAGACTCCCTGCTGAGCACAGAGCCTGACATGAGGCTCGGTCCCATGACCCTGAGATCTCTGCCTGAGCCGGAACCAAGAGTTGGACACTCAGCTGACTGAGCCACCCAGTACCCTCTGTGGATTCTTTTAGATTTGACCAGGTCACCATCACACCATGTGTGAATAATGACAGATTTGGTGTTTTCCATTCTAATCCTCATACTTTTTTTTTTCTTCTTTCCTTAGTACACTGGTTAGGATTGCCATCGTAGTGTTTTTTGAAAATTAATCTTACTTTTTGGCCAATTTAATAACTGGCCAAATAACTTTTTGCCCAATTTAATAACTAAAATATATTAACTCTGTTAAACAAATGAGCTGCTTTCTAAAACAGGAATATAACATTCAAAATGTAGAAAAAGTGAATCTATCAAAAGTCTCTCTCCTACTCCAGACCTTCATGTGCTTGTTTTTTTTTTAATTTCAACACTTTAACAATTATTATTTCTACTGGCACGGACTTATTAAATATCACCTTTTCAATGACCTGTTCAGTGTGTGTCCTCTCGTCTCCTAGAAGTCAGATGCCTTCTTGTACCTGTCATACTGCCAGAACCTCGTTCTGCGTCAGCACGCAGAGCACGTTTGCTAAATGAATAAGTGAGAATCTGTCTCGTAGATAGCTTGTTAAATTTAAACTGATTTCTCTTAAGAAACTATTCATTTCTTTCCCACGAGATGCTTTTCCCTCAAATTTCACTAGAATTTTTTTAATCAAGAAAGTGGGGAATGTGCCAGCAGCTGCTAGTCTTTCACTGGCTTGTTAAAAATATCAAATCTCTGTCCTTCCCTTTGACCCGCTAAACAACACACTTGACCCAGTGGACTTTCACCGTGTCTGTTTTGGAAGCTCTACAGGTAGCTCTGAGAATTCAGTTTGGAGACCAGTACAGAAGACTGATCTGTTCAGAGATTAGTAGGATTGTGGAATCCAGTGATTTTCAATCCTGGCTGCACTTTAATTAAAACCACCCAGGAGCTTTAAAAAAAAAAAATCCTGGTGCCTGGCCCTTACCCTGGACCAACCGATCTGAATCTCTGCAGGCATGGTCCCTGCCAACTGTATGGTGCTTAAAAGTTCCCCAGATGGTGGTGGAGGCTGGGAGAGGGGAGCAGGAGGTAGGATTTACAAAGGAACATGAGGCAGTATTTGGGGGTGACGGGTATGTTCGTGACCTGGATCGTGGAAATGGTTTCATAGGTGTGCACATAGTTTTAAACTCACCAAACTGTAAACTTGGAGTATGTGCAGCTCATGCATGTCAATTACACATCAGTAAAGCTGTTTAAAGGAAAAGCTCCCCAGGTGATTCTCACAAAGAGCCGTGGTCGAGAATCATTGTTTGAACAGAGGGAGCACGCCACTGGAAGGTGGACATTGGATAGACTTTGTTCTGCCAACTAGAAGCGACTTCCTCCCCTCTGGACCTCACTTTCATTCTGGTTGGGGGGGGTTCAGTTTTTTCTCGGGTACTCTTCCTCTCTGACATTTTGATCCTTCTGCTCAGCCTGGCTGTGTGCGCCAGGCTGTCGTTGCACCTCCTGGCCACACGAGGGGGCTGTGCAGCTGGCTGCCTCTTCCTCTCAACTGAACACTCCTGTGAGGTCAAAAGAGGCTGGTCAGGCATCTGTCTTTCCCTTCTGTCTGTCCTTTGGTGAGCGCGGGCCCCACTTCTGAACCACCATCTTCAGCTGCCCCCACCCAGTGGTCCTGCTGCAGGTGAGCCTTTCTTTTTAAGCAAAGTAAATCCATGAATCTCTGAATGAATAGAACTGCTTTTTTAAAAGATTCACCAGATTGCTTTGAAAATATCCAGCTCCTGCAAAGCAATTAAAGTAGGATCTAATTGAAGTATATGGAGGCAGATCTGCATATGTATGTGTGTGTGTGTGTGTGTGTGTGTGTGTGTATCAATAAGCACATTGACAGTATTACTCTACTGCTTCTAAGAAAATGATCCATTCATACAAAAGGTAGTCATCTGTTTGTTACAGGTGCAATATTGAGATCCTTCAGGCAGTAAACATTGCTTAGGTGAAAAATGGAGTCAAGGTTAGCAAATAAGCCAAGTCTTTTTGCACTGTACATATGATATAAGGTACTTAAATGAGTAAATGTGTGAGACAGAGTGTGTGTGTTTATCTGTGTTTGTATTTATCTGTCTGTGTGTGTGTTTACATATCTTTAGGTGAACAGGTTGGCTACATATTTTAGAATGGAATCTATTCAGACACTCTGGGCATTAATCTCTATTTTTCTGGGACGTGACAGGGAAACACATTTTGGATGCCAGTCAGAAGAGACTGACTAGAACTGATGTTACAAAATGATCTAGCTATGTCATAAATGTTGATAAATGCATTTTTAAAAAAAAATACAGCTCAGGAATAAAAAAGCAAATGCTTTTCTGAAGTGCAGCAACAGCAGGGAATTATTTTAAAAAGGAAAGACCCTCCCCCTTACACAGAATTTTCCAATACTGTAAAACCTTAACACTGACTAGCTCTGTCTTTTATTTTTCATCTTATTGCATGTTTCTTCCATTTTGATTCCTAAATTTCAGATTATTCTATGAGCCAGTCACAACACCTTGTGGACATACATTTTGTTTAAAATGCCTTGAAAGATGCCTAGATCACAATGCAAAGTGTCCACTGTGCAAAGATGGTCTTGCACAGGTAAGACATTCTTTCTGTCTTGATTGGGTTAGCTTATTTGGAATTGGATACCAAAATGGTGTCCTGTTGGATCCCAAGCCAGTGCACTGTGCTAGGGCAAAATACTCCCTCAGGCCATCTGTCTATTTTTCCTGTCTTAGAGCTACCCCTCCGCTCTTCACAAAGTCCTTCAGGAAAATGGGGCAACATCTAGGTTTTTATGAACTGTAAATAGTGAAATTAATTTGTGATGGAAACAGAGGATTAAATTGAGGACAAACAGGGATCCTGGTGCTAAGCCTATCATGGCACCTGATTCATTGCAATCTTAGGTGAATCCTCTGTCCTCTCTGGGCTTGGACGAGATGAGTGCTGATTTCTTTTCACCATCGTTGTTTATTCTGTGGTTTGAAGGTATCACTCCCAGGGCCCCAGAAAAACCTCACAGACGTTCAGTGTAGTCCTTGTTCCAGGCATCCTCCCACCCCCAGGAGCTGCTGTACTTATTAGCAGATATTTGACCACTTGAAAAGCTCTGCAGCTTCTAGATCCTCCGAAAGGAACCACACAGGCTGCCACCATTGTTTTTCAGGTGGACTGGAGGACTTTCCTGTAGCACAGGAACACCTGGGAGCCCATCTTGTTTTCCCTCCCTTGGGGACTTGTGCACGACACATTATAGTCAGTCTTAATATTCCTTGACCCTTGTTGTCCCCAAGGAGAGGGCAGAAATGCAAGGCTATCTCTAGGTGAACGTAGGTCCAGAAAAGTCACCTGCTGAGCTTTCCCAACACCCAAACGTTTGAACAAAGGGAATGGAGTGAAATAATCAACCAGGATAATCCTGGGGGTGTGTGTAGGGTTCGAGGGGAGGCTCACTGTCACACCTTGCCTAGATCAGTGGGTGGGATCTGCTGGCCTGATGGTGGGTGAGGAGCCCATGGTCCTTATACATAACAATACACGTGTGTTGTGGTAACACTACAACATTCATGTAAGCAGAAAGAAGAACCTGCTCCTGCTGAGCACCGGGAGAAAACCACGGTTAACATCTCAGTACGTGCCTTTCCTGGGTTTTTGTTTTAGCATCAGCGGTGGAGTCTGGATTAGCAACCTCCTGAGTCATTGCTTTTCCCCAAAGACTGGGACTGGGCAAAGCAGCTGATCCGCCATTAGGTGGTAGCAGGGGCTGGGAAGGCATCCTAAGAGCAGATGCTGCGGGGTCCCAGACTCAGGGGCTAGAAAATATTCTCGTCTGTCTCTGCGTATTGGCACAGGGGCACACTTACACTGTGTCCAAGAGCGATAAATATTTTATGCCAATCACGTTCACTGCAGAATAGACACACAGAGCCCGTACTGGGAAAGGAAAAAGGGTCTCTAACAAGCAATTTTATACCCAGGAGCTCCCCCTGCTGGGTCTCTATGGGTAGTGTCCATAGCAAGCAATTCGCAGATGTTTTAACTCTCATTGTCTGGGTCACACAGTTAAATTCCCACTGCTTACAGATCACCGGATATGTATGGAGTAGGGGTGTTTGCGAGGATAGTAGTGACCAATGGACCCGAATTTGGTTCTGAAATCATGGTTTATAACATAATTTCAGTGATAACCTAGATGATATATCTAAAAAACAGATAAAAATCACCAGTATTTAGTTGTTGTTTTGTTTTTAGCTAAAGCTGGGCGGGGGAAATATTTAGACTGACAGTATCCAGAAGCCAAGCATTGGGGTGGGGTGCCGTGGGTATGGGACAGGTCAGGAAAAGATCAATGTTCGAAAATGGCTTTTTCATGCCCCAAACATTTTGACCAGACTTTCAGTATATCCCAGGTGGAGACCATTTTTATGAGCTTGTAGATGCAGTAACAAGAAGAGGAAAGGGAAGGATTTGCCCTCCCACCTTTGTGACAAGAACATAATCTCAATTTGAGCATTTTAGGGAAGCTATGAGATTTTTAGAACTTCAACGCAGGTCTTTTTCCCTTGTTAAAATATTTTTGCCTAATTATACAAGTAATTAGTCACATGTAATATCCAGAGAATATATGCAGTATGATTTATCACCTGCTAATACACGGGTCTAAATTACTCCGATATGTGGGTCATTCGACTATCCTACTGATAGTCGTAGGCGTGCTTTGTGTTTTTCTGAAGACTGATTAGTATTTCATTGCCCTGTTCCCCCTTTAGTGCTTGGCATCCAGAAAATACAGCAAAAATGTCATAATGGAAGAGCTAATAGCTAAATTCCTTCCAGAAGAACTCAAGGAACGAAGGCGGCTTTATGAAGAAGAAATGGAAGAACTTTCTAAGTATGTATATGCACATGTTCTCTTTTTTCTTTTCAGTTTGACCCACAGAAGCTCATAGAACTGAATGTGCACATTTCTAACTTTTCACTTGATGATATGTTGGTAGCTTGACATTGGCCTTGGTGAGAGTATCTACGCTATAGAAATTGGCAAGTGCTGTAAGCCAGAGCTTCCCCCAGAAGCCAGTTGCTCAGCGCTTACCCATGTGCCACAGACCATTGACCAGGTCACATCTTGGCACTTGTGCCTGGGTGTTGCTGGTAGGAGGTAGGAGTAAATTTGGAGGAGCTAATCAGGAGAACTCATGGAGTGTACAAAAGACTGCAGATACTCAAGCAGGTTCTGTGAGGTTAAGAACTTTGGTGCCAACCAGACCTGGGTTTGTGACCCAATTCTGCCACAAAGCGAGTATACTTCAGGGCCTCAGGCAAGTCCCTTGACCTCTCTGGACCTCAGTTTCCTCATCTGTAGCTTGGGAATAATCCGTTCTTACCTCACGGACTTGTGAAGATTAAATGAGCTAGTGCACAGCAAGTACTTAATTAATGGTAACGGTAATAGTGAGACTGCTGCTTGTCCTGTGCCTCCTCTGCCTGGCCCGTGGGAGAGGCGGGTAAGGAGGGAGGTGGAAGGAGGGCTCCTCCGCTGGAAGAGCAGCTCACTGGGAAGAAGCGGGAGGCAATCTCTCCCTTCTGCCTCTTCTACTGCTGCCTCCTGCCTCCCCATCCCCACTGGAATCCTCACAGCATTCTGGGGGCCAGGTGCCTGGTGGCAAAAGGTGCCCCACTTACAGAGAACACCTCTGAACTGCCACGGTTTCGTTTGAGTGGAGCCTCTCACTTCGGGTGACATGTTCTCCTGAGAAGCTAGAAATTAAATCCTTGTTTTTCTCCTTGACTTAGACTAGATCTACTCAGGGCATCTTTATTTCTGATTCTTAAATTTGCCTTGAGTTTCTCTGAGCCCTTATCTCCAGTATCACTTAGTGTCTTATTAATAAACACTGGGATATATTAGAGGGATATCTATTTAAAGAAATCCTAAACTTAATACTGCGGGGATTTGGGCAGATGGTCTTATAGCTATTGATAAGTTCCAGTACTGGATTTACCAGACAAAGAAGAGAACGGTGATGGAGGAGGTGCTGGCCTGGTTGGTGGTTTCCCATCAGGCTGTGCGTCTGCTTCTTCATGGGCACTTGTTGAAGGGAAGACTCCTGGGTCCTAACTCCAGAGCTAATATACCAGTATCTCAGGGGTCCTGCAGCCCACGGTCTGAATGGAAGGCCCCCTGGTGACTGATGAACAGGAGCGTTTGAGCATCACTGGGCTAGCACCTTGCCTCTCTGTTGCTCCCTCCTCCTTCTGGCTGGGTCTGCCCAGCAGGTCTCCTGGGGCCTTTGCAAATTTGAGATGCTGTTGGAGACCTTGCAGAGATTTTCCCACCATCCCCCTGGAGGGCTGGGTCCACTTTTACCACCAGCATGACACCTGAAGAGATTGTTCTGAGTAGAGAGCATTAAAAAAAAAAGATTGAGGTATAGCTATTGCCCACCGTGTGAAGGTACTAGAGGACGTCTTTAGGCAAATTAGAACGTATAGAATATCGGTTTCAATCTCTCAGCGCTTAGGCTAACCTCTGCACCAGGTAATGGGACTCAGCCCATAGTGTCGGTGGCATCTCAGGATTTTTTTTTTTTTAATCAGCCATCGAAACTTGAGGTCTCCTTGCCTTCCTGTGGGGGAACCACAAGGGGACGTTTGACCAACCTTTCTGTGTTCTGCTCCATTGCTTTGAGACATCCACGTCATTTGCTCTTCCTGACAGCTTAAATAAGAACGTGCCTATTTTCGTGTGTACTATGGCCTATCCCACCGTTCCTTGTCCCCTGCACATCTTCGAGCCTTGTTACCGCCTGATGATTCGTAGATGCATCGAGACAGGCACAAGGCAGTTTGGCATGTGCCTTGGAGATCCCGTCAAAGGGTAAGTGGAGAACTATGTAGGGTGAAGGGAGGCTTGGCTGGAGAGGGATTTGGGTTGACTTTGGGGTGCTCCCAGAAGACGGGGAGACACAGCTCCTGAGATTTAGTCAGTCCGTGACCGTGAGTGTTCGTAGAGACCACGGTCTCCCTGGCCCCTAGCCTACCATGTAATAGGTTGCCTATATAAAGGAACCCTGGGATTAATCTTTTGTTAAACGAGTGGCATTTATTCTACAGTTTGTTTCACTGGAAGACTGTGGACCCGGGAGTCATACTGCCTGGCTTTACATTCTGGCTCCAGCCTTAGCAAGTTTGACTTTGGACGAGTTACTGCTGTGACTCAGTGTCCTTATCTGCAGAGTGGGCACAATAATGCCTACCTCACTGGGCTTGTTGAGAGGGTTGGTGAGTTAACGCGCATAAAGCACTGAGCACAGTACCTAATACACAGTGTCTGCTCCATACACGGGAGCAGTTATGTTATTGCATGAACATTTTTCTTTGCACAGACACTGCCTGTTGTGTAGTTGCCGCCGTGGACCCCAGCACAGGCAAATAGGCAGAAGTCCCTCGAGGCACAGCCTTGGGTTACAGAAATGGCTCAGGGCCAGGGCACAGAAATGACTCAAGGATTTACATCTGTACTCATACCCTATTAAGCAGGTTCGCGGAATACGGCTGCATCCTGGAGATCAGAAATGTGCAGTTCTTTGCTGATGGCCGCTCGGTGGTGGACAGCATAGGCAGGAGGCGCTTCAGGGTCCTCCATCAGGGCCACCGAGATGGCTACAATACAGCTGACATTGAATACATTGAAGACCAAAAGGTGAGGATGGCCAGTGCCACGAGTCCCAAGGCCAGGCTATTCCTGTAGCTTGGCCCACAAAGATGTTCGCAAAAGAATTTCTCAGCGCTGTTGGGGGCCTTGGGATTTCTCACCAAATTGTTACGGCGACACTGAATGCTGTGGGATTGCTGTTTGGCTGTAGAATGGCACCAGGAGCACTCCGTGTCCTGGCTTTCTCTGCCTAGCTGCTGAGTCGTATTCATGTGTGAGAAATGGCAAGTCAGACCAACCGCGCAGAGGCCCGTTCAGCCTAGGAGTTAGGTCTCTGCCACAGAGATCAAGGGGTAGATACGGAGCGATAGCTACACATGTGCATTTTATGTATCAATTTATTTATATTTTCCAACTTTGTCTTTTGAGATAATTGTAGATTCACACGTATGTTTGTATTTTTTTTAAGATTTTACTTATTTATTTGATCACTCAAGCGGGGCAATGGCAGACTGAGGGAGAGGGAGAAGCAGGCTCAGGGAGCCTGATAATGGGGCCTGATCCCAGGACGCTGGGATCATGACCTGAACCGAAGCAGATGCTTAACCCACTGAGCTACTCAGGTGCCCCCGTACATTCGTATTTTGAAACGTGCGGCCTGCTTAAGAGTTCTTCCCTAAAACCCATCATACCATAAAGCAGAAAGATAACATGTCCAGTTAATCTTTGGTGTTCTGGACTAATGGGTAGAAGAAAAGGTAAATAATCCCACGTTCATTTATGTTTACATTCACTACATGGTACAAGATTAGTCAATGTTTGATCGATGAGTGAATGTATTTGACATGCAAAATAGAGTTACACAGTGAGACACAGACATACTCATGTCTCTTTTGCCAGTGCGCAATGGGAAACCAGATATAAAACATGAAAAGGAGAGAGGCGTAAAGCAGCGTAAGCTCGTTGGACAGCATGCCTCCACTCAAGCCAGGGCGCCCCTCTGGTTTCTTACCTGTCTTGCTGTTTCAGCTAATTTACCTAGAGGAGCCTTTATCCTTCCTCCTGCCCCTCAACAAGTTATGCACAGCCCATCCTCTGGCAGAGGAGACGTTCACACACCACACAGGAGCAGGCCGGGCAGGCAAGCCTTCCTAGGGGGGCGGGCTGGATGCCCAAAGGGAGTCCGTGTCAGCAGCAGCCTTGGGAGTGGTGGAGAAGGTACAGAGTGCTTCATTTCCACTTTGGTACTTTCAGGTTCAAGGAGACGATTATGCTGAGCTCATGGGATTGCATAATTGTGTCTATGAGCAAGCGTCATCGTGGTTTCATTCGCTCAAATCATCTCTGAAGAATCGGATAATCAGTCACTTTGGTCCCATGCCAGAGAAAGATGCTGATCCCCAGGTACATGGAAATGTCTCTTTGTAATGGACTGCCCCCACCAGATGAGAGAGCCTAGGGTTTGAGATCAGGTGGGTGCATGGTTCCCATTTGGTAGACCAGGAACAGAGAGGAAGATGGATCCTGAGTCAGAATTGGAGCAGTAAAGTAAAGCAGTAGGAACTTGGATCCAAGACAGGTTTTGAGAGATAAGTCAGGTGAGAGATTGAGAACATAGATGCCATCAACAGAAGAACTTTCAGTGAGGGTCCAGAGTCACACCACAGTAATGTGTGGGAGTGACAAGATTCACGCAAAGGCCAGGCTTAAGAGAAGGGTATCCTGGGAGCTGAGACCAAAGGTTTCCAGTTCTGGGGAGCCCCATAACTGTCTTCCCCATTGCTGCAGGAGCAGGGAGTTGGGACCAGCTAACTTACAGGATTCCAATCTCAAGACCCCAGAATCTTCTCACACCTGTGTCCCTCCCTCCTTAGCCTCGTGTGTCTAGATCCTTGTCATTGTTCTCATCAGGGGTGAGCAGGTCCTGAGCAAACAGACCCAATCTCCAAATCTACCCTTGGCTGAATTATACTAGAAAGCAGTTCATTAGGTTCTACTGGATTAGTCTGTTTCCTGGGGAGACAGGTCCACTTGAGAGATCAAGCTGCAGATCAGAAGCTTTTCAGGAAATTGGAGATAGTTAAGTTTCTCTAAGCTTTGTTTGCCTGGTATAAATCAGACAATACTCTCTCTCTAGGACCAGGCTGGAGATAAGCTAGTTAAATATTTGCTCACGATCACCTCTCCTACATTCTGAGCTGGCTCCCTACATCGTCACTTCCATGACTTCCTTGATTCTTTGCTTTCACTCGTTCCCAACTCTGTCACAGTAGTAAAATGGAATATGTATGTTCTGATTTCCCTGCCAAGAGACTGGTCCTTACCACTCTAGCTGTGTGACCTTGGATAAGTCCCTTCTCCTCTCTCAACCTTTCTCCCAGCTCTGAAATGAGGGAGGTGGGAGAGGAGGTCTTCCAAGTCCCCTCTTCTTCTTGCATCTGGGGCTGTAAAACACTGGTCTGTTCCCTAATGGACTGAAATGTCTCGCTTTCTCCAGACCACAAACTTGCCTCTTTCCCCACCATGCAAGGGCATCATGAATGTTGAAGGGAGAAAGTCCAGTCAGTGCTTCCCAGTGACCCAGCTCTTGGCTCTGGGCCACTGTGACTCAGGACTACGTCAGAGCTCTGTGCAAGCTCATGATCAAGTGTAACGTTCCCCTTCACCTTTTGGAAAGCATTCTTCCTCAGTCAGGCAGAAGGTAGCAATCAGCAATGACACAGCATCTTCCTCAAGAAAAAACACAGATGCCACAGAGTGATTCATAAGGGCTCGATGACACAGAAAGCTGAAATCTTGGGCTCGTTTCCTTTCTTATTAGAACCATTATCATATTGCTTTGGCAGCAGCAAAAAATTATAATAATAATAAAAAATCATCCAGTTTGATCCAGTCAGTGCTGCAGCCCCAGTGGTCCCATTAATAAGAATGTTCTAAGCTTTGGGAGGAGATTTCTCAGAAATAGCTGCAAGTATTAACATCAGCTTAAATGTCTTTGTTAATGGCCCTGGGAAAGATAGTTTAGAATATGTCAATTTCATATCCAGAACTAATAATAGGAGGGAGAGCCCGCTACAGCTCACAGTGAGGGGCAAAGAAGAATTCAGAAGCTACAGGTACAGAGAAGCCAAGAAGGCAGCAAGGTTTGGGGAGAATCAGGTGAACCGATTTGGAGGCAAATATGTAGGTGGTCTGACCACAATGGGGTTCTGTATAGTCCTAAACCCACCTTCTGGAAGTTGCGAGTCGAGAGCTCATTTCAGGCTTCATAGGAAATAAGTCACCAGTGTCTAAAACGTGTACCTGAGAAGCTGCTGGCAAACCAAATTTCGGTGAAGGACTCATGTGGGATGGGAAGGGTCTTTATTAAAAAAGAAACCTGGGGACAGAATACATTTCTAATGTGAATGTGTTTTCTAACTGGAATTTTTCTAGAGTGGGATTGCTGTGCTTTGGGGCTGTGGATCATAGGCTTTGGTTTCAGAGGAGAAGCTAGCTGTGGCCTTGTATAGTGACATGGCATATGGGAACTATATTGCCTTCAGCCAGGAGCGGGGAAATAAAGGGAGTTAAGAGACACGCCAAGCCCAAGGGATCATGGGAATTGAAGGCCCACAGGTGGTAGGTGTCAGTCCAAAGAACCTAAATAGAATCTTCGAAATGGAACAGACTGAGTGGTGGATATTCTAGCTCACAGAATCACACTGGCTGGGAGGTATAGGGTATCTGTTAGGATATTGATTTGTGTGCTTTGACAACTACTAAAAATAACTGTGGCTTGAACCAGATAGAGGGCTAGGGCAGCTCTGTTCCATGAGGTCATTCAGAGATCCAGTGTCCTTCATCTCAAAGCTCTACCATCCTCAGAATGTTGCCCCGTCTTTCTGATAGAAGAAGGCTGTTCGTCACCATGTTCACGCTCTGGCCGGGGGCGGAGGGGAGGGAAAGAGTAAGGTGGAGGGCTCAGGACCTGTTCCCTGCGTGTGACCCAGGAGTTACACATAGAACTTCCGTTTACATCTCATTAGCCAGAACCTGGTCTTGTGACCTCCCCTAGCTACAAGGCAGCCTTTGTTTTCTGGGTGGCTACACGCCCAGCTCGGATAAGGGGACGTAGACCTGGGGGTGATCGGCAGCGTCTGCCGTACGCAGAAGCAGTTCGTCCTGCACTGTTTACCGTGCGGTGTGGGAAACCTGCAGACTGAGCTCACTTCTGTGAAAATGGGATGAACCCATGTGTTTCTCTGTTGTAGGTTAACCCAAATGGCCCAGCCTGGTGCTGGTGGACGTTAGCGGTCCTCCCACTGGAAAGCCGAGCTCAGCTCCCATTCCTAGCTATGAGGTCCTTAAAGGATAGACTGAACGGCATTCGGCGAGTCCTGGCCTTTATATCCCGAAACCAAAACTAGTGAGAGTGGATTGCTGAAGAGGAAGCCCCACCCTCCCCACCGCCCTGGGGGAGTCATCTTGTAAATATATCTAATTGCAATAACATCTTAACAGAAGGAAGTATCAAACAGGCATTTCCTTGCTGTTGGTCACAGAGAGAAAATGTGTAGAAAGACCAAAAGCATGGGACCTGTTTGAAACTTTCTGTCTTAAGATGCTTCTTGACATGCTGCACAACGACATGCTCAGCAGAGGTGTTTAAAAGCCCAGAAGAAAAAAATTCCTTTGATTTCGACATAAACTTTTCCGAAAGTTTAAAGTGGTTTTGCTTTAATTTTCTTTCTTGCATAGTTAAGTGTGTGGTTGAAATGTGACACACAGATACTAATAACGTTGTGTTATTTCACTGACTTGAGTTCTCATTCCAAATGGTTCAGGTTTTATACAGCATTGTGTAAAATAAGGTTCATCCTTCTATCTGTTTTAATAATTTATTTTTTGCACTACTGTATCCTTTTTTCTACATGTGTGTTTGTGACTATTTAAGTGTATGTTACTGAGAAGCCAGTTACTTTATTTATTAACGTGGTTTACCGTGTACCAAGGGGGAAAGAACAGTACTAGAAATGTGCCATTTTTGCTTTCATCACATGTAACTGTGTTTTTTAAACCAGTTCTCGAATGATTTCCAGATCTACCCCATTGGAAGGTTAGAGGAAGTTCAGGGTCACGCAGAGATTACTGATCTCCGCAGGTTCCATTTGGCTTTCAGTTTGAGTTCAACAATATAAGATACGCAAGGGATTTGGCATACCTTATGGAATAAGCCAGGGTGAGGTAAAATAATCCATTCTCTCTGTGTTATATGGAGCAGGGCTGAAGGAATGACTTTCTTTCAACGAAGAGATGAATCCGAGGGGCGTCTTTCAGAACAATCTGTTGTAGGCATTTATCTCAACAATCTAATTACAGTGTACCTCATTTCTCCCCAGTGCAGTTAGGAGTGGGATGCTGAGGCAGGATGATTTTTAACCCTTCAGAGGGAATGGTTTTCAGTCTGGCACATCATAGCCTCCATACCCCACCTCTTCTCAGGGTTCTGGGGATCACGACCTGGCTAGCACTTGTGCAAACACGTGAAGAAGAGCTCTTTGTTATTAAAATGCAATGAAGCCAGTAGAAAAGGTAGAACCCTTAAAAAAAAAAAAAACAGAAAAACTATCTTTTCGGTTTGTAAAACTCTTTAAAGGAGATAATGAATCCATGATTTTATCTAAGCAATGCCTTCCCATAGCCTCCATACCCCACCTCTTCTCAGGGTTCTGGGGATCACGACCTGGCTAGCACTTGTGCAAACACGTGAAGAAGAGCTCTTTGTTATTAAAATGCAATGAAGCCAGTAGAAAAGGTAGAACCCTTAAAAAAAAAAAAAACAGAAAAACTATCTTTTCGGTTTGTAAAACTCTTTAAAGGAGATAATGAATCCATGATTTTATCTAAGCAATGCCTTCCC